TGTTGTTCCTTGTGCGCGCTCTCGTGTCACTTTTATTGCATTGCGATGCATTCGCAAAATTGAATACTCGGAGTGTATAACAATTTATATGTGTGTGTATGGGACTTTGTGTGTGTGTCTGTGTGCATGTGTCTGTGGTTTGTTAATAAGAATTGCGTGCTAGTTTTTATTGCAAACAGAAAAAATTAAACATTAGACGCCAGTTTAGCGATCAACCCAATCGACCTGCGTCTGAGCACTAATTCTAAAGCTCCATTACAGTAAAAGCTCGCATCGAAGTGAGAGCAACATTTAGCTGTTCACACAGCTCTTTAATGTTGTTTGCGTTTTGTAACAAACTTACTGAAACATTTTACAATCTTGCAGCTATTAAAAGTGGTAAATCAGTTTTATTTCATTTTCAATAGAAATGGTATGAATATGTATATTAAAGCTATTAGAGTGAAATATGATCGTGATATTAAAGTTCGATGTTGTTTTCCTCCAAATAGGTCCTTGCAAGATCAATATACAAAAAAAAAAATACAATTTAAAAGTTCAATTAGTAGTTCAGAAATGAAGAAAATGGTTTGTGAGGAATGGGTAAATAATGAAAATGTATTTTAAAAATATTAATATGTAATCGTTATATTAACAATATTAGTTTTTGTTTACTATTACTTTATCAAAAAGTTCAAGATATTATTTACAAATTTATATAATAAATTTTTAAAAGTTAAAGTAGGCTGATAAAGATTAACTATAGAAGATTAAGAAGCTCCTAAAACTTCAAACCTGTATGAAAACCCTTTCTCTAAGAACTTGAGAACAACTATTGTAATTGATTTCACAATTTCAAAAACTCACATCAAAATCTCATTTTCCGAAATACAAATACTTTTCGAGCTTGGAAGCCAATTAATGGCAAATGCTTCGTCAGCTTTTCGATTTAGTTTAGAGCAGCTCTACTGTAGTATACAACCTAATATGGAAATGTTTATGCGCAAAGTTATTAATTTAGCGTTGAGGCTCAATTTGTAATCTGGACGCAGCACATTTCTGGCCAGGCCGAATGGCATTGGCATGCATGTCGCCGTCGCCATCACTGACGAAACCGCAACGCATGACTAAATACCGGATCGATTCAAACGCCTCTTGACTGACTGATAACGTCGCCCCATTGTGTCATCAGCCGCATTGTTGGCGTCAATGTAAATGATTAGGGAGCATTGGAATTTTGGCAAGCTGTCCAAACGCAAACCTTCCAATGACCTTTCAAGTATTTAACTCTTTTGGGAAATCGGAAATCCTACATATAAAATCGTCAATTATTTTCCCGACACTGAACAAGGTTTGTTTGGTTTAGTTTACTTTGAGAACCTTTTCATGTGCAGTTACTGAATATGATATACATATGTAGATTTTGGCCGGCTTTTATAATTTTTACCAAACGACCTTCAAACTATTTCACTTTTTTAACAATTAATTAACTACACATCTTAAAATACGCTGCTTTTCAGCGTGGTTTCTGTATCTGTATATTTTATATTTTCTATATAGATTTGTAAAGGAGACAACTTACGTAATTATTTCATTAGCATGCTCTAAAGAAATTTCTCCTCGGTATTCTAACGGTATTCACTTGATTTGAGTTTTTTGCAAGTCGATTTTCATTTTGAAAAATCAACAAACGATAGTTATTGGCGCAGTTTTGCATTTCAAATATAAAGCTCTCTTTTGGCAGCATTTTATTTAAAATCGAGAAGAGGGTGTAACGCACTTTAGCTTCTGATAAATCGATCTAATATATCTTTATAGCTATTGTCGCAGTGTTGCATTTAAAGTTCGAATGCAGAATGAATTTCGCTTATTCACTCATATTCTAGTTTTATTTGTTCTTTATTCTATTTCATTTTGTTGCCAAGCCATAATTGCAATCATTTCGTAGATCTTTTTTATAATCATGTGTGATTTGTGTATGTATGTGTATGTGTGTGTGTGTGTGTGTGTGAAAGATAAAGCCCTCTTCATACGTTTGTGCCTGGGTTTTATTTATTTTCAACGGCTTTGAGTCACATTTATTGCATTTGCCTTACGCCTTACACTTCCTGCAACGGCAATAACAACAACAACAACAAAATCAAGTACGACAGACACTTGTAATATGAATCATGCAGGTGGCACAGTAGCAACAACAACAACACTATAGCCACACTGTTGCCTGCCCGCGCATTGCGCTTGTCATATCAATTAGTGTTTGTGTTTATTCGTACTTGAAGCTGCGAAAACAAATGGAATGAAAGAGAGAGCATTGCTGCTTTGATAGCAATAATAAAAATATTTGTTATTGTTGTTATTGCCGTTGCTATTACATGCCATTATGCAGTAGAGCTTTTGTCACAGCTTAAGCACAAACTTCATTTTACCGTTGCCAATCATGGCAGGCTATTTTTAAACTCTCTGGCTCTCACTCTCATTCGCGCCATCTCAGTTAAAACTCTTTTCTGCTGGCAGCCCACTCCCTTTTCGCTGCATTGTTGTTGTTGTTATTTTTGGCCGACAAGTTTGAGAAAAAAAAGAGTACAAGGCAAAAGTCGCGCCAGCTTTACTCTTAAATGCACTGTATCCGGTTTTGTAATTTAATTTATTCGTTTTTTTTTCGTATTTTTAAATGCAATTTGCTAAAACCTAAATTTAAACATAATACAATCTTATATACAAAATTTTAAGCTATTTTGTGATTGTAAAATTGAAATCAAATCAAAACAAACAAAAAAATATACAAAAAGAATAACAAGGTGGATGCCTATAGACCCTCATAAAGACAGACTAGAGGAATGGGCAGACAAATATAGTATGTCTCCTCTTGTTCTTCTGACCAAGCATCGTCATTTCAAAAGACCCTTTAACCCTTTGGCTATAGGGTATAAAAAAATGTGTTGGCGATTAAAAACGCGCGCGTTTTAAAGCTCATGTGGGGGCATTTGCATTTTATGAATGAATTGCATGGCTTTGTTGTTGTTGTTGTTGTGGCTAGCTGATAAACAGACCTATCTGTGAGTCTCTCTGTGTATATACATATGTGTGTGTGTGTTCGTCTATCAGCTGCCACTTTTTTCTGTTATTATTTAGAGGCACCATTATCGACAAAACACAAATGCAAAACTGAAAGTGAAACGCACTGACCTATAATAAGAATGTTCATATTTATGCACAACAATTATTAATAAAAAAATAAAATGATATACATACATATGTATGTATGTACATATATTGTACATACATATGTACATATGTATGTGGAAATAGTCGCTCGCAGATACTAAAGGAACTCATTTTCTAGATGCAAGTGTGTGCATACTTAAGGCGAAAAGAATAATAATTTTAGCGAGACAAGAGATAATTGTTTTTCTACATGTATTTTACAAATAGCCTATGAAATAAAATATAAAAACTTATTATTGACAGTCAATAAAAAGGAAAAACCTATAACTGTTGTTTTAAAGAAAAGCTTGCCTTATCTTTTGTTCTCTTTTAATTCAATTACTGTTTTGCTTAAAACATGCCGCGTATTTGCACATTAAAGGTGAAGAGAAAACCTATTTTAACGTGACAAGAGAATTGTTATTTTTGTTCTCTGCAAATAATACCAGAAATTGCAATAGAAGCAATTGTTAGGAAACCTATTTATATTTAACTATAGTTAATAGACAATAACTTAAGAGCAAATACTTTTATGCAGTTTATTTCTTTCTGTAATGTTTGAATCTTGGAGTCTTAATGGGTAATGTTCTTACACGAAAATTTGGTAATTTCTTGCTTTCCTTGCTTTTTTTGCACTCTTTTAATCAATTATCAATTATCGTTTTTAAAAAAAATTGTTTTTTAGTATAGGAGAAAAAACTTTCTTTTAGGGGAGAAAATTGTTTTTATAATTTTGATTCTGTAATAAATGGGAACTGTTCTTTGAATTGATTGATTTGAATTTATGTTTGTTTCACATTGATTGTATTTACCTTTGTTCAAATAAATAGTTTTTCTTGTACACATTTAAAAAACGTTAAAACGTTAAATTGATGAAGCTTATCTCTTACTTGAATTTCCGTTTTTCCTAATACATACTACATTCCACGGCCTTGCTAAGCAATCTCCCATTTTATGCAAGGCTCTACTGTTGTTCCCTCTCCTATGAAGCCACAAACAAAGCCCAAGTACTGTGGCAGTCTTTGTGGAATTAAAGAGTATATAAAAAGGAATTGCTCAAGAAAAATCCTGACATGCCGTTTATAGGCGATCCCAACTGATTTATGAAGCTACGACAAACGCCTTCCATTCATACTTGTAGTTACAAATGAAATACAAGCGTCATGTGTCGCAGTTGTTGTTGCAATCATTTCGATTGCCTGATTGATATGCTTGACGCGCGCATGTGTGTGTGTGTGTTTTCGAGTGACTTACACACTCACTCTATGATAACGCCGAGTTTGCCTTGAAGTGAGCTCTTAACATAAATATGTACATACATATATGTATGTATATTTGTGTGTCTGTCTGTATGTACTTTTGTATCAATGTCAAGTTAACCATAAACAAAGAATTTTTTTTCGTTTTCAGTTCAGACAATACATAAAAACTGACCTCAATTGGTGTTGGAGCCTATGCATATATGTATGTATGTATGTACATACATTTGTATGTGTGTGTATGCGTATGTATTTATGTATGTTTGTATAAACACCTGATGCAGGCCCCCAAAACTAAAGTCTACATGCGCTTTGCATCGTAAATTAGGCAACAGAAAACAAAAACAACAATGGAAAAGTAACAAAAAGTAAAAGAACATAAAATAAACAAAAAGCAACAAAAAAAACCAAATTGTTTTTGACTCACACACATACATAAATATATATCTGCATAAATCAAGCAGTAAATCCCAACAAGACAACTAGCTGTCAACCCTTTTCTTTCTTTCTCCCACCACCTCTCTATAAAAAAAACCCTTTTTTCTGCTCTCATTACAGCGCAAACTACTCTCAATTAAAGCAACACAAAACTAACAATAACAACAACTGAAAACCAAATTCAGCAATGACACCCACCACCACCACCACCCAAACAGCACGCCCCTCTCACGCCCACAGTAGCAGTAATGATCTACAGCATGCGCAGCAGCGACGTCGCCGTCAACCGGCAGCGAACTCTCAGTTTTCTCTCCCTCTTCCTGTGTTAGTGCTGTTGCTACTGGTGCTGCTGCAATGCAGCAGAACAGTCGCCGCTGCGCAGTTAAAGTTGCGCTCCTCCTACGCTGGCGGTCCAACGCCAACCCCTTCTATGGGTGGTGCACGTCGTCAGATACGTCAAGCATCGGAATTGGATGCCGCCGAGGTGGCGGCGGCAGCGGATGCCGCGGCGGGCTGCTGTCAAGGCGCTCCGGCCGTTCTCAGTGCGCCGGCAACGGTGAGTAAGCGAAAAAGTTAAAGGAATTTCATATGTATATGTGCGTATGTATGTATGTATCTATGTACTATGTGTATTTTATATCATAGCATAAGATTCAGATCAAATTCAACATGTAGTTTCTTGGAAAAGCCTACCAGAAAAGCAATAGAATCCTATATATGCGAGTAAATATCATAACATGTAGATCGAATTCAAAAGATTTTTAGAAAATTACACAAGATAGGCAATTGACTCAAATCTTATTATATAATATCGAAAGATAGATTCTTAATCAAATGATTGAAATAATAATAGTTTATTATTGCGATATCAGGCATTTCGTTATATCGGGTTGTGAGCATTACTTGATTAATTCCGACTCATGTTTATAGCCCAATAAACAATCACGATGACACAAGTTGTGTTACAATAACCATCTATTTCAATTTTTTATGGACTGGCTTTTCTTCTATAATTTTTGCAATATCTGAGCGTCTATCTGAACTCGCCTCATCGGTCTATCAACAACCTACATAACACCCTTTTATCGAGCAAATAAAGTGGCACTATCTGAATCATTAAGTATAGTAAATAAATTGTCCGGAATTTTGTAATCGAAGCAAATAATATCAAGTGTTCTAAGACATGAAAACACGCAGAGAACACGAGGAAGATTTCATTCTAGGAACATTAGTCATTCCGCAAAAGGGTGAAGCGAAACTGAAAACAATCGTCAATAAAAACAAACAACTTGGGAAGCTCTTAGGGCAAGAACCAAAATTTGGATTTATTACATTTATTTTTGCCTAAAACTAATAGATTCTCAGATGGAAATGGAATATTACTTTACAAAATGAATGCCAATATGATGTTTTTGAGTTCTCTCTTTTGTAACTCAGTTGAGGTTTTTGGCATCCAAATCTTTTGCAGAATTCCAGATTCTGTTTTAACTTGACGGCATCCAAATCTTTCGATCCGATTGTCGACTTTGGCGCCATCATTATATGGGTCAGTGCAACGGTAAATGTAACTGTAACGGGAACCTGGAGCCACTGACAGAGTGACGTCTTTCGTCTAGAACTTCTGTAAAGCAGCTTCCCGGTTGTTTGCACTTTGATAGGCCCTTTCGTTTTAGATATATACATATACATATATGTATGTATGTACGTAGCACCCACGTCACATTTCTTGTTGTTAACAAACAGCCACGACTTGGCATCTACCGTTATAGATAATTAAAAAGTTATTTATTTGTTATGTATGTATTTATTTAGACAGCACTTTTCTGCTTCTTCTTCTTCTTGTCCGCCTTTCCTTGGCATTGATATATGTAATGGTGGCTATAACAATAACGTGATAATGGGCCCCCGGCTGTTTACACTCGGCTTTCAAAAAAGCAAATAGCTCGCCTGCTTTAGGGCTTTAATTAAGCAGCGAGCATTACTCATATTTTATTTGTTGTTTTATCTAAGGCGTCCCGCCAATTATTAACAAATATGATAAGCCCCAAAGGCGTACAACGGAAGTGCCACCATAAGTTTTTAGCATATTTCCACAGACCCTCTCCAAATATGTACATATGTTTGTATGAATCTCCCCCCGGCATATCAGGTGACAAAAAAACAAAAGAAAGAATGTGCAAAAAGACGCCGTGGAAATGAGACTACATTCATATTTATTTGAAAGTTTATTTATCTAAAAATTGGGAAATGCACTTGCCACCCTCTTTCCAGATTAAAAATGCTGTCTAAATACCTAATTAATAAAAAAAAGGCTTTTCAATTACTTGTTAACGTTATAGCCACTTCCGTCGACTGAATCTTGGATAGTACAAGCGATATAGTCGCCAAGCTTAAAGTCACAGATTTAAAGTAAATGCCACTTCCGTCTGTCTGTATGAACCCCTTAATCGCGAACAGCGAGAGCGGTAGGGCAACCAAACTTGGTAGCACGTAGCTATACATAAAACTGTTCCTAGTGAAATAAACCTACCATTAGAGAGGGTGGAAATGGATCATACTTTAATATAAAAAAGCAGAAACGTTAGAGTCGCCAAACTTGTCTACAGATTTAAAGCAAATGCCATTTCCGTCTGAGTGTATGAACGCCTTACCAAACTTGGTAGAACGTAGGCCTGCATAAAATTGTTTCTTTTAAATTAAAAGTCTTGACACTAGAGAGAGTGGAAATGGATTAAACTTGAATGTAAACATTTATAAAGTTGTAGAAAAAAGAATCATATGTATACACAAATCTATAACCCCAAGCATTGTTAGTGTATGGCGAACGTGCTCGTAGTTGTTGGGCGTAGCAGATTGCTGGCTGGTGCTTTAAAAACGCATCGGAAATTCTTTGCCATACCTCGCTCAATTCTAATTTCCACCTGTGGCGCTTATTATGCCGTTTCGTTTCGCACACGCTGCTTCACTCTCTGTCTCACCTTGACCTTCCGCCAGAGTTGCCAAACCTGCCGCTGCTCAGTTTGTTGCTATTTCCCTGTGTGATGTACATACATACATACAGATGTGTGTCTAAAGTATGTCGTGCAATCAATTAGCAGGCTGCCAATAAACTCGTGTGAATCATTGCTAAGGTATGGCAACAACAACAATAACAGTAACAGCGCAATAACAGCAAAGGCGACGACTACATACAAACGTGCCGAACTGTTAAAATTAAGCTACGTTGCTGATGCTGACGTCGATCGCGTCAGCGGCGCATAATTCAAGCTAAGCTTTGGCACGTGTCGCCATTTTGTTGCTTTCCTGCTAGCCATGCTCTCAATTATAGTGCCTAACTGTTAAAATGCACTGCGTCGCTGACGCTGACTTCGACTGCGATTGCGATGCACAAATCGAGCTGAGCTTCAATTCTGTTATCCCTCTTAAGTCTGCTGATACAGGTCTTCCAGCTGTTGCTCTCTTCTCTTAGAGGTGCTCTAAACTTTCTGTTATCCTCCTCTAATGGAGAGCAATCCTTCTGTAGCCTGCTGATGCATAGGTTTTTCCAGCTGTTGCTCTCAAATAGAGGTGCTCTTAACAATTAGACTGCTCTTATCTGTTAAAATGTGCAACATTGATGCTGTCGTCGACGGCGACGCACAATTGGGGCTGAGCTTGAGCACGTGTCGCTGCCACTGCACCGGCTTATTTCTTACAGTTGGCATGCATAGTGACGTTTCCAATCTCTCTGAGCCAATTGAGTAAAAAAAAAATCAAGCTCTGACTCATTTGCCGGCTAGCCCCAAAGCAGAAAATGTCAGAGCTACTGTTGTTGTTATCTCCATTGACGACACCAATTAATGTTATTCAAATAAAAAGTCGAATAACAATAACTTTTTTCTATGACTAATTTGTTGCGATTGGCTTTTGCTGTTGCTCAGTTGATACCGGATCAGCCGTTTGGCCAAAACTCACACTGCGCCCAAAATAATACAAATACATAGTGTACATCACGAATACTATATATAGTTCATCGACTTTTTTTTTTATTTTCAGTACCATATTTAGTCATATTTTAATAATAGATATTTAAATAATAGATAAAAATAATTAACTTAATTTTGGTAGTTTTGTGTTAAAATAAAATAAACTCGTAATGCCTAGGGACTAGATGAGTCTAAATACCAAGTTTGGTTAATGTGGATTCAACCGTATTCGAAATCTAGGCGTTCATCCAGACAGATGGACATGTCTAGATTTATTGTTCTGGTCGTGCTGATAATAAAAATGTAGTATACTTAATGGGGTCGGATATGTTTCCATCTGCTCGTTACGGATTTTGCACAAATCTAAGATACCCTTTTTACTCCGCACTGATTTCCAGACCTTTCACTCTAATATTCTTTCCAATTTCTGAATCTATTGGTTCTAGTCTAACTCTTTTGCGATAACTTAGCTTTGGTGGACTACCTGTTTGTGGTTTAGACTCAATAGATCCAGCCGAATTGAAATTTTCAAGCACATATCAGAAAGAATTTCGTTTCTATTCTTCGCCATTTATTCAAAACCAACCAATCCAAATCATTTCATGACAGCAGGCTTAGTAAACTTTAGTTACTTCAAATAGATTTCATATAGATTAGGTAACACCTATTTAGAGTCTTGTGGCATCTATCTGTATTATTTGACTCTTAACTGCAGTAGTTAAATGCGTTTTTTATAGGAGCCTATTTTTAATCATGCTCTTTATATACACACGGATGATATTCACCACCTAGCCTGAATAGTTCTTGAGATAGGTCTTTCCTATAATATGTTACAATCCCTATACCTTTAACTTCATCTCAGAAATTCTTTCCATTAGCATGTTGCCATTTGTTTTCTAGTAACATCGTTCATATATAAAGTTTTATAAAAATCTTAAGATACGGGAATTTCGTGCTGGGGCTATTTTTTTTTTTTTTTTTTTTTTTTTTTTTTTTTTTTTTTGTAAACAAAGAATAGAAATAACATAAAGGGGTATCAAGTTTTTGTTATTTAACTGGTTTTGAAACTTCGGCTGTCTGTTTGTATCATTAATTATAATCGAGCGCACACGCTGTTGAGTGTTTGTATTATGTATCTGAATAATTAACTAAATTTACACAGCTGTTATTAATAATACTCTCCTTCTTCCCCTCTCTCTCGCTCTCTCTCTCTATTATTCCAAACAGTTGCCATCAGAACTGGCTCTCGAGCTTAGCAACGTAACTGCCGATTACAGTGAAGCCGATAGCTCTGGCGATACCTCTAGAAGTAAGTATAAATAACTAAAAAATATCGAGACTATAATCTAATAACTCCCTTTCTCCCCCTTTCTACTCTGTTGACAGATTCGGAAATCTTTAAGCGCAGTGTTACACGTTGTAAGTGCTATTTAGATAATGATTTGGATTATAAATTGTATGTTCATATTATTGATTTAATGGGTCCTACAGATGATATAATATTTTAATCAAAATAGGGATATCAGTATTCAAAATCTTTTCTGCTAATGAAGTACGTATAAGAAAGTAAGGAAGTTTTTGGATGCGAAAAAAACCCAAATATCGTCATTTCATCTGATCTATTAAGTGAATCGACATACATCCAGGATAGCCAATTATTTCTTAGATTATAAATGAAAATCTAAATCGATTTAGAAGTATGTACAATACTTGGGGCTTAAAAATAATTTGAGAACTCGTTTTCACGCATTATCATCAATCGTCTCTCAACTCTTCATCGATCGCGTTTAATCGAAACGATCCCGTTTCATTTGTCCATCTCTAATAACGGCATTTTCTTTTTCACTCTTGCAGCCGTTCGCATTGCAACACCCGCGAGTTGCTCGCCACAGCCAACAATTGTGGAACTGAAGCCGGTGCCCGAGGTCGGGGAGCATACCGCAGCGCTGGTCACCTATCAGCCGGCCTGCACGCGCGTCCAGCGCTGCAACGGCTGTTGCGGCTCCACACTGATCTCCTGCCAGCCGACGCAGACGGAGATCCTGCAGCTGCGCGTGAATAAGGTGGAGAGAACGGGCTCGAGCATCAAGCGGAGTCACGCCATTGTCGAGGTGGAGCAGCATTTGGCCTGCAAATGCGATTGCAGGATCAAGGAGAGCGACTGCAATGCCTATCAGCTGTACGATAAGAGTCTGTGCCGCTGCCAGTGCCAGAATACGGATGCACGTGACAAATGCCTAAAGGTGGGTGGCAATGGCTGGAGCATGGAGGAGTTATGATTCCGAAATTGTGACTGATTTTTCTTCTAATTGCAGCAACAGGAGCAGAAGTATTGGGACGATGCGAACTGTACCTGCGCCTGCCGATACATTCAGAACTGCACCACCGGCACCTACTTCGATGAGACGGCCTGCAAATGCTCCGATGTGAGTCCGGACTAGATAAGAGTATAGCGTCTGGTGTAGCGTACGGTCTAGTGGTGGTGAGGGAGATATGTAGACATATATACTTATATAAAGGGTGTTTCAACAAGCAAAGCCTCTTTTTTGCATGCTAATTGGCTAACAGCTGTCAAATATCGATATTTGTGATCGATAAACTTGCGAGACTGACCATGAACCGCCAGAGAATGAAACAATAGTTGGATGTCGTAGAACTTCGTCAAACAAACATCAAGGAATTATTTCTGTAGGGTATACATTAAAAGTAAATTCAATTCAATTTTTGAAACTCTTATGCGAAAGAGTAATCGCAAATATCGATAAAAATGAGAGTAAGTCTTGCAAGCAGATTAAAATGGAACATTTTGTTGATATTACAGTCCTTGTGTCTCAAACTAAGTCAAAGCGATTATTTCGGAGTTTCAAAACACAATCAAAACATCAGAGATATCCAATACAATACTATATGTACTTTGTTGGAGCTTTCAAAGCGAGCATTAAATCCCCCATCGCCCGAATAGATTTCTTTGTTTTGGGGTTTTAAAAAAAGTAAGCTCTCTGCAAACCATTAGAAATCTCAAAGCATGCAATAAAGCCGCCCTCCGACAAATATAGATCCAATGAGACCAACAATCTTTAAACCTCTTGTTGAAGCACCCTTTATATAAAGAAATTGTTAGAAATTTGCAAAATCTATTTAGACCCCCCCTCTCTCCCTCACAAGTACTTTCTCTCCCTTTCGCTCTTCTAAAGAATTATAGATATTTGTGAGAAAGCCTATGTGTTGGTTTCTGGGTCGGTTTGGTATTTTTCTTTTGTTATGGTCTTGTGGCTTGTTTTGTACGTTTAAGGTAAAGGTTTTGATATTACCAAAGCTAGAATTAAGTTTAAAAGATCGTATATGAAATGTGTTTTAATATATATATAAATATAAATCTAATTTCAAAAACACATTTTAATATTTACGTACACTAACGAAATTTTCTTTAGCATTATATCGAATTAGTAATATATTTATGGTATTTATAATCTTCCTTTAGTTATATTATTTATGCTGTATTTGCCAAATTTTTGTAAAAGTAGCCAATCTTTTCTACTCTAGAGGTAGGCTGTGGTCCTACCAGCAAATAATTTGCACGAAACTTTGTAAAACAGTACAAGTATGCCACGAGAAGAAAAACTAACATTTTTGCGGTTGGAAATTGTGATTCGTCATTACTTTGTTATTCTTTTTGCACTATATAGAGCTTAGTTTTATGACAAACCATAAAAATGAATAAAGTTGTGTGCAAATTATTTGCCAGATAAGAGCTTGGCTTTAGACGTGCCGTGAAGATATTCCTCTTTGAAGTAATTTCAGTATCTGTTGGGCAGCTTTATTACAAATTGGTTTTGTACCGTATGGGGATATTGTTATTTTAAGAATTGCCTTTAAGTAGCTAATAATAGTTCTAATCGATTAGTTTTTGAGGTCTGCTCCTTAATGTTGTAAGAAATGCTTCTAATTTGTTCTCATATGTTACTTTAAAACTACTTCAAAACATTCAAAATTTGTGCAATGCCGTGAATGGTAAGCTCTTCACGATTTTGGCAATTGTTACGCTCACGTCTCTAACGCTCACGCACGCATTCACGCACAGCTCTAATGAAAAAAATTCGTTCTGCTTAGAAATCAAGCCAAATCGCTTTTATGTTATTAGTATTTTTGTTAATACTCTACATGTTTTTTCGTTTCATTTTAGATCAAAAATATCGAGTTTTACGCTTAGAAAAAGATCAGTTCGCACACACACACACACCCACACATAGAAATTGTAGCGCGCCATTTGCAATTTTTTTGAATTTCCCTTTCTTTTGTAATTGTTTTTTGTGATAAATTTGAAAAAAGTTAAACTTTCAAATTGGCTGTAAAATGAGTTTTCAAGCATTTTAGCAATTATATTTATTTAGCAGCATTCCCTAGGCTTATAAATGTGTACCGATGTATGTTTATAAGCTAGTATTAGAGCTGAGTTGAAGCGAAGCACAACATTCTAGCATTGTGTGAGTATTTGTAACATTTTATGTCCCCCAATTTATCACTAAAATTTCAAGCTTAAATGCCTTAACACCACTCTGCATGTGCTTTCAAGCTACAAGTATATTTGTATCATACTATATATGAATATGTATGTGTATGTATGAATAGATTTTAACATTGTTACCTCAACCCAATTCCTCACCTCGGCCTTAAACCTATGTACATACAAGTATATACCATATAGATTTGAGCTTTCTCATGATTTCTTTTCTCACTCTTCCTTCCCCCCTGTAGTCAGCGCCTACTGAAGTGTTCGATCGCAAGCGTTTCATCGTGCAGGCCGTTGCCGTGGAGACCGACAATACGACCATCTATGAGGTCTAAGCAGTAAACATCAGCCGATTGGTGCTAATATGGATCTGCTGGCCGTGCTTACGGCGTTACGTACTGAAGATTCTTAACACAAATTTATTATGCAATTTATTGTATTATTTATAAACATTACTTAAGCATCAGCACACACATTTACCAATTTCCATCAAGTTGAAGATACTTTTTCAGTATTTTATGTAAAGCATGTTTTTTGTGAACTTATTTTGTGTTTATTTTTTTTATAGTTCCAAAATTTCATTGCAAATCAGTCTTAAATTTTAAAAATGCCGCTAAATACGTATGAGAGATAACAATTAAGTTTGCAGGCAAAAAATGTCCATGTTAAAAGTTGCAGCTCATTTACATGTTTGTATGATTAGTGTTAAGTTACATTTTCACCGTTATGTTCCAAAAAAACAAGTAATAATAGTTGTATAATTAATAATAAAAAACATCACGATAACATGAATTACTGTTGACGTGCTGGCGAAATTGTGCAACACTGCCCGAGTGACGCGATGGTGATGGCAAGTGCCATCACTAGGCGGCAGCACATCGATAGCCATATATGACATTAGCTAATAATATCGATAGCCGCCAGTCAGTTTATTACTTACCGTAATTCAGTGCGGGTGTATGTATGAGTTGTCCGTATTTTTTGTGGCCGGTATTTCTAAAATCTTGCAAAGTTTTTTTTTAACATATTTTGTTCGGTGTTTTATCTGTTATTTTCCGCTACGCATGCAGGTCATTTGCGAATGCGTGAGTCATTGTTGTTGTGCTAAATTAAATTACAAGTCATACATCGAGTCGCAATTGGCCACTGAGCTGTCAAACATAAAACGAACAATAATAACAGAAGTAATCAACAAGAGTAGCAGCAATAGCAACAACAGCAACAACAAAACCACACCAGCAGACGCATGAAGGAAATTGAGTGCGCGCGTGTCAAGCTTTTGCATATATAATTATTTAGTGACTGCTGCTTGTTGTTGTCGTCATTCTTGTAGTTGTAGTATCTGTTGTTGTTGTTGTTCATTTCTCAACGACGACGAAACCAAAGTGCAAAAGCAAATCAACAGGTAAATACCAACAATAAGATGAGACACAGTTATCTCTGTGTACAAACACAGACTAAAGTACACATACACGCATGTGCCATGTATGTATGTGCATATGTTTGTATATGTGTTTGTCCAAAAGAGAGTATGTGCGTGTGTAAGTTATTAAATATGTCTGTCGCGCACTGCCCACTATAAAAATAAAATAAATAAATAAAAGTAAAAAACGAACGGTGACAGCAGCTCCAAGGCACTTAATTGCGCTTCAAAATGGGTCCCGCACAGTGGAACGGGATTGATGGGATATTGCGATTACGCGAACATTCAATGAAGCCCAAGAGTATACAAAATACATACATACATACATAAATGCGTACATATGGATCTAATCATAACTCTCAATATGCCGGTGGTGCACATGTATGTATGTATGTGTGTCATGTGTGTTTGCTGAAGGTCAACTCTATGCGACTGTATCTGTGTTGTGACCCTGCACTTGTCCCGCTAATTTATTGATTGCTCTACAGTGTTGCCTTTTCCTGCTTCATCAGCAATAGAGCCGAGCCAGCCAGCCAACAAGAGCAGCTTCAGACAACAACAGTTAGACAACAGTGCGAAAACAGCTGTGTGTGAGCCTAGAGCTGGGCACCGATCGTGTTCTCGTTTGTGGCATTGCGTGTTGATTCAAAATGGCAAAAAATAATACAAACAAAGCTATTTAGGTTGGCACATGTTTTTTATTAATAATAATTGAAAAGAAGCTTGTAATTTCGTTTTTAAAAAAGCCATGCCTGAGTGCAAATTAAAGTTTTTTTTTTTTTTTAATTTGAAATAATATCAATGAGTAAACAAAATTAAATGCAACTAAATATAGATAACAAAATAATATTAAACAAATATAAATAAAAAATAGTTGTGTGCATTAAAAGTCTTTTTCGTGTTGAAGCAATAAAAGCCAGCCCTTGTCCATCTCTAGTGAGAGCAATTTGGGTTGGGCATATGTTTTTTATTAATAATAATTGAAAAGAAGCTTGTAATTTAATTTTAAAAAAAGCCATGCTTGAGTGCAAAATAATATATTTTTTGGAATCAATAAGTAAACCAAATTAAATGCAACTAAATATTAAATTAATGTAGATTTCGTGTTGAGCGATGTTTTAAAAAATTGATGTGTGTGCATTAAAAGTCTTTTTCGTGTTGGAACAATAAAAGCCAATCCTTGTCCATCTCTAGTGAGAGCCGCTCTCTCGATGCCATTGTTGTTACTGTTGTTGTTGATTATTTGGTCGATGGATGTCTTATAATAATCGCATTGCCACTGCCAGTTGCCTGTCGCCCTGTTGCTTTCCATTTCACCTTTAACCGTAATACGCACGTTTTCGCGTTTGATAGATGAGGTCATTGGCGAACTTGGTGTATCCTAACAGCGACGTAGACAACAACAAATAAAGCGCATTTCCACACCGCGTTTACTTGTTTATTGTCTTTTACAAGTTCATACTACATACATACATATGTATGTATGTAAATATGTAGATATGAATGTGTGCAGTGTATACACATGTATTGTGCAACAATAAATCGCTTGTTTTCAAGCGTATCATTCTGTCGGTCTGCCAATGTAATTACTTGCATCACTTTTATTATTTTATACCATTTTCGCTTGCCGCAGCACATTTCACGGACATTACGCGATCATCACAAACTAATTTCCCTCTCTCTTTCGCCGCAACTGGCTTTGGCTTGGGAACGATAGTGCCCGATAAGCTATACATGCATACATAAATATATATGTATGTACATATGTATTTAGTTCAGAGTTGCACAATTTTTTGAGAATATTCATCAAATTATAGGCCATTTGGGATAAGTTGAAATTCGTCCGTAAATCTGTGTTTATTTCATGTTATCAATTCCTGCTCTTGTTTTTATCTGTTTGTTTCCCTGTGTACTTGTATGCATGTGTTTGTTTGTGTTTTAATAACTGACAGCCTTGCGTCATATTTCTCACGTGATCAGCAGTTTTCGTTTAGCGTCCAGAGAGGGAAGCGCTGGAGAACGATGGGAGAAAGAATGTGCATGTGATGCACCAATTGAACAGTTATAACTGTGTTACGAAACTTCTATGAATGAGAACTGATTTATTCCATTTATTAGATATCAATTGAATAGTTAGAAATGTTTGCTGAATTGCAAATACTCGCTTGAATGTGGAAAATGTTCCATTATTTGACTTTCTTTTCTTAGATTCTTTTCTACTTTGAGATTTTTTTTAATAATGACACAAAACAATTGAATGTTTCCTGTGGAAACTGAAGTTGTCTTTTATTTTTAGTTTCCCGCTCTGAGGTAGATTGATTTTCTTACATTTGTAGAGGTATCTTACACATGCACGTATCTCCAATCTATAATTGTGGGCACCCTTTGCTATACGTCCTTTGGGATACACGCTTTAGGAAAACTGTACCATTAATCTTAATTAATTGAATGAATAGACGATTGTTAACTAAGATATCCAATACTCTGTGATCTTGAGGTTTTATTTATAAAACAACCAAAGGCAGCAAGTTGAATCCCATCTCAAATATAATAGGAATTGACATGCTTGTCTGTCAATTTGTTTGTCCATCTGAATGCCTATAGTTGAAAAACTACAGAAGCTAGAATAACGATACTTTGTATCAAGATGCTCTTATTCCCAGTACATATGAAGTTGATTTGTACAATCGACCAAAGACCTGTGTCAACAATTTTCAGATGTAATACGTGATTATCTGATACTTTGGCGTCAGCGCAGGCGGAGGCGCGATTTCAAGGCCGTTATTGACGTCGAAATAACCCCAGAAATTCGTTACAGTTAGCCAACAAAAAAGTCTCTTTATCTAGCAGATAATTGGATTTTCAACAGCAGTTAGATAATGCGTGCGATCAAAGAATTTATTTCTTATCAGCTGTTTTTTTTTTTTTTCGATATAATAGTGCTTGTCACAGGCGGGTCTAACGGGCATTACTTATCGCATTAAACTAATTTTACGTTCAAACTGCTTTTATGATTGCTGCGATAAATCGGCGAGCAAATATATATAAAAAAAGAGGTGCTAATCACTGTATTTGTTGGGTGTAAATATGTAATGGCTTAGATAAACAATTTAATGGGGATTCAAAGGGATGACTGGTTTGATTTATATAAATAATAGGAATCGGTAAACCGCAGTATTAATCTGAAGAATAATAAAAAACAATATTCTAGGATGCTTAGCAATTCTCTTATGGAAGCTGAAATTTGAAAAATTTCGAATATAGAGATTTTGCACATAAAATTCGACCTCCAAGGTGGGGAAATCTGGTTTCTATGCAAAATGTGTATATACAAGTATGTACTCTAAGAATAAATATAAAACAAATTGCACCCACCGATTTTTACTGATTTATTGGTGCTTTAACATCTTGATCATATAAATATTAAGTCAAAATGTTAATTACACCAATGGTAAGGTTTCTATAAAACGATAAGCACAAAACCAACACGCCAAAAATAAATAGAAAGCTCACAAAATACGATTTAAAAAAGAGATACAAAATGCGATCAAACCATACATCATGGAAACTTTTCAGAATATAAAAATAGAATAAAAAGCACTCGAAATAAGTTGAGCTTCGACTTATGATGTCATGTTTGGAAGAAGAAACAAACAACGATTAGGAGCAATAAATATCTATAAACTGGTTGCATTTAAGGGCAGGGGGACTTGCAGAAAGTCGGCCGACAAATATATGCCACATTGAAGGCATCTCAAGTGCCACTTCAAGGCCCCGATGACGCTGACATTAATGACAGCATATAAAAAGAACACTATTATAGTCAGCAGACCAGGCCCGAATCACACAAATAGCTACCGGCAGGTGCTAAAGAGTGTGATAACCTATTAGGAACGGTACGTGTTATATTATCGACAGACTGATATTTGGCACAGAAGCACTCGGAAAAATACTTTCTTCCACAAGTATCATCGAAATTGTGTTAAAAATTAACAAAGCGTGAATTTAAAATAAATGAAAGCATATATTTCAACGTCTTTTAACCGCATTATAGCCTTAAAACTCAAATGATATTCTAGAAAGATTTTATTCCATTATCTAATCTTCGCTTTGGTATCAAATATTGTTCACAATAATATCGAGATATTTTTGTATTGCTTTCTGGCAAAATTAAAACATATATATATGTTTGCCCGTCTGTTCTATTATTTCTATCTTTGAGAGTAAAATCTAAGCTCAATAATTGTTTTATTCATATAATTGAGCTTATTAAGACTAATTCAAAAAGAAAGTTACAAACGAATACACAATTGTTGTGCTTAAAAATTATCCTTTAATGAAACTTCAAGCGATTCAATAGCAGATCCCAGTCTATATACCAATGCCCGTAAAACCAAGCTCCATATAGCTAATAAGTTTGTCCGTCTGAACGCTTCCATTGCGGGTACTATGGGAGCTACAATTATGAAACCTTACGAAGAGATGCAGTGAGTTATAGATGCTTCTAGTCCAATAACCCTTTGAGTTTATTTTATTTGTTGTGTGCAAGTGTTAATCAAAAAGTAATATGACATGAAACGATTTTATATGAATTTCTGAAGTGTATATATATATGTACATATGCAAAAATGTTGATATCCAAGACAAATCGAGAGAGACTGGGAGTCCGTCCGCGTGCTGTTCAATTGTTTGTCCGTCTGAGCACTTATGTTTTGGAAACTAAAGAAGCTAGAGTCAAGAAATGTAGCATGTAGATGCTCCTATTCCTAGTACTTATACAATTTATTGGATGCACCACCTTTTCTTCATTAAATGGTGCAAGTATTAATCGAAAGCTTCCCCCTTTTTTTGGTAGTAATACTAATTGAAATGATTGAAGCAGAGTTTCTGATGTCTGTACGAAGCTAAAGACAAATAGTTGATTCCAAGTACGAATCGAACTGGGATAATGATAACAGGGAGTCCTTCCACCTTACACCTTC